TTATAATCACTTTATTCCACAACAATAACAAATTGTTTAGCCATTTAACAAAGAAGATACACGAACGTTCATATTCCCATGACAACATTCTAGCATTAAGAAGCATGTTGTATGATACCAACTGGGAACTATTTACTGACGATAAGTTGGATGCTACTGTCTCTAATATAACCGATTATCTGAAGTTTTGTTTGGAAATTTGCTGTCCATATGAAACACTGTTTTCGAGATTTGACAGAATCTCTTCTTTGCAACTGAAAAAACTTAGAAGACAAAAAGAGAAGTTGTATAAGAATTGTGATAATACTGGTGTCCGTAAAATAAACACCCTTATAAAAATTGAAATAGAAAGGTTGAACAGACTATATAATGAAAAATTTTTATCATGTAAAAATCCTTCAAACATTTGGAAACTTTTCAATAAACTTACAAGTAAAAAACAAATGTCTGTTGATGCTTATTCTGATGTTAATGCTTTAAACAAATCATTTATCAAGAAACAAATTAATATGGTTGTACCTGATGTACCTAGTCAAGAAAATGGTCATTTTCCGGGTTTTAAAGAAAAGGATGTACTATTATGTTTGAAATCATTAAATCCAACACACAGCCTTGGTCCAGATGGTGTACCAAGCATTCTTCTTCAAAAGTGTGCAGACATCTTGTGTCATCCTCTTACTCAAATCTTTAACGCATCATTTAACAGGGAAACGGTACCTGCTGACTGGAAAGAAATCAAGGTTGTACCTGTACAGAAATCATCTTCTGGAGCAGGTATAAAGTTTAGACCGGTCGCTATAACATCTCCTTTTTTGAAAACTATGGAGAAACTTCTTTTGAATATTCTTAAACCTTCTTTAAAAGCTTTTAGTGACCCTAAGCAGTTTGCTTATAAGTGTGGAAGAAGTACATTAGATGCAGCCATTGTACTACACCACAATATTGTTTCCTGCCTTGATAAGGGTGCTAAGTTCGTTCGAACAGCTTTTTTAGACTATACTGCAGCTTTCGACTCTGTTCCTAGGACACTTTTATTAGGAAAGATGATTTCAGCACAAACAGAGTCTTCTTATTTTAAGGATAGGAAACAGCATACTGTTTTGGCTGGAAAGCGCTCCACTTCTCAGCTAACTGAAAGTGGTGTGCCTCAAGGTGCAGTACTTTCTCCATTTCTTTTCTCTTTCTTTTGCATGACCTTCCGAACTCACCCAAAGTTAACTTCATTAAGTATGCTGATGATCTGACCGTTTCTGTCCCTGTAGTTTCCACATCGGATTGTTCCCATATGAATGGCTTCTTAGCTGAAGTTAAGGATTGGTCTGGCTCAAATGGTCTTAAACTAAATCCAACTAAATGTAACACTGTTGATTTCAGCTTGAGAAGTGAAAAAGACATGCATGGATTGATTCAATCTCATGATTGTTGTAATATTGATGGTACCATGATAGAGAGTAAGTCAAGTGTTTCTTATCTTGGCATTAGTTTCTCTTCAAACCTTTGCTGGTCGTCTCATATTCTTATAGTTTCTAAGAAAGTTTTCCGTCTGACTTATTACATAAAGAAGTTGAGACACTCAGGTATAACCCAATCTCTTATCATACAATTTATTAATTCATGTGTTTTGCCCATCATTCTTTATTGTTCTCCATTATTCTTCCCTGGGCTACTCAAGAAAGACCATATAATACTACGAAGAACATTGAGGGCTGTAAGTAGGGTCAGTGCTATCCCTTTGACTCAACTAAATGACACTGTTGTCAATAGGCATATGAATTCTTGTAAACACTTAGCTAAAGTTATCTTATCTGATAGTGAACATCCTCTTTATTCACAATTGTTTCCTTGTATCTCTTCGGGTAAGACCAGAAGAAATTTTATAAACATTTATGCTCGTACTACAAAATATAAAAATTCGACCGTTCCATATTTGGCACGAGTATTGTGTGAAGAGACAAATATCAGAAAAGAACTTTTACAACTTTTGAATCATTAACTAAACTATAAAATGTAATGATGCATATTAATGCATGTGTTATTTGTTATATTATTTATTTATTATTCACTATGACCTAGCAATGGTGTGATTTTGTTGGGGTTTTATTTTTTCCTATTAACTATCAATATTTTAACATTTTATACATTTATATAATTATAAACAGAGCTAAACCATTGCAATATGTAAAAGAAACGCTGAAAATTCCATGCTGTAAATTGTTATTGTTGTGGAATAAAGTGATTATTATTATTATCTGTACTATTTACTCATTAATTAATCAGCTGAAATAATCCCCTTGGAAAGGAATCATGCTTCAACTGACTGACGATGAATACAACAGGTGTCATCGTAAGCCTCAGTCATCAATGTACAATCACTCGAGATATCATGTAGTGCATCACATAGCTGGTGAATCATTCTCGTCTATTGCAACGTCTGCCTGCCTACCTGTTTTACTCATTCTTCGATATTCTATCCGACGTTACAATTATTCATCAATGCCAAATATATGGCCATTGATATATATATATATATATATATATATATATATATGAAAAATTGTATTTGTAAAATCTCAGAGAAAGTAAAATCAGTAATTCCAGGGTTCCCTGCATTCAGTAAACTGTTTCGAAGTTCTCCAGGGAAATTAATCGAAATTAAAATTTAAAGAAAAAACGTTTATGTGTATATAAAACGGGACATCTCGTGTTTTTAAAACTCTGTCCAGTTAGTCATATGAGCATGAACTGTGATCAAATATTAATTTCAAGAGTTGATTTGTGAACATTTAATTCCATATTAGTTTGTTTATTAGATGTATCACATAGTCAGTGAGTGAAACAGTATTGTATACTGGATGACACAGTTTCGAACACAATTTATTGCTGTTCATAATCATGTCAATTGTGGTCACACGACTTTGAGATTTGATTTTTATAGTTTTCTTTGTCGTCTCCTATTTGTCGTATGGGCAGTAGAATTTTCCATATATCTGGGACAGGTTTTGAATCGTTTCTACCACATGTATTTGCAGTTGATTCGATAAACAAAGCTTTCGTTGTTATCAATCTCTCCCTTCACCCTGTGACATTAGATTTTAAAACTGTCATCTTATCCCACCCAGCCTATTGTATGGTTGTGTGTCACTGCATGTAGTGCTATAGCTGAACTATTTTCTAGATTTCTTATCTTATTTGGGTTAACCAGTCTAGACTTAGCTAGGTTTTTATGTTCGGCTAGTCTGACTCACTTCCCCTGTTCTACTAGTTTGACCTATGTATTTGACCTCACAATCATTGCAGACAGGGTATCAGATAAACTAAATTGTTTTGTTTTAATGGCTCCACAGGATTGATCCTTTAACCAACAAAGCTTGTTTCTAATTGAGTTTGTGGTTGGTTTGAATGACAGCCACTTTTATTCCTGCCTTGTTAAGTATTCTGCGTAAGGCTTCCGAGGTTCCTTCCTTGTATGGAATTACTGTTGATGATTTAGCTTCCTTATTGTTGGTGTCGTCATTAATATTATTAATACCATTATTATTATTATTACCATTATTATTGTTATCATTATTATTATCACTATCTCTGTTATCATTATTTATTTTATTTTTACACTTACTTACATATTTCTTGATTAATTTATCCGGGTAATTATTAACTTTCAAGGCTTCTTTTATGTGTATCACTTCCTGTCTTAGATTTTCCTTGGTACGACTTAGTTTTTGTGCTCTCTCATTTAAACATTTTACTAATCCTATTTTTACTGACATAGGATGATGGGAAGATCGGAAATCCAAATATCTGTTTGAATGTGTGGGTTTTCTGTAAACACTTGTGTTTAGCTTCCCATCTTCTTTCTTTCCTTTTTACGTTGCAATCTAACATTGGAAGTTCCCCTTCCTGACTTTCCAATTCATAAGTGAATTGAACTGCCTCTACCTTCGAGTTGATGTGCTCGAAAAATCTATTTATATCTTGTGTTCTAAGTACAGTGAATGTGTCATCTACATACCTCTAACATAGTTTTGGAGTGGGTGTGAACGTTTCAATCGCTATCTTTCCCCACCTATCCATGAATATATCTGCTACAACTGGGGATATTGGTGATCCCATGGCAACTCCCTCAGTTTGTTTGTATATTTTCCCTTGGAATTTAAATACTGTAGAAGTCAGGCAAAGCTGCACTCCCAGTATTATGTCCTCAAGTGGCACTTTTGTCCTAAGTTCGAGTTCTTGGTCAGAAATGAGTTCGTTTCTGACCACCTCTATAGCCATATTTATTATTGGTATACGTGTGTATATAAACTGACAATGTCAAAACTAACCATTTTTTCTTCATTATCTAATTTTAAATTATCTAATCTGTGTTTTAGTTCATAAGAATTAGTTAGTCTAGATTTCGAGTGGATTTTTAGGGGATTTAATATATTGTGAACATTTAACTTGTACTGCGAGTTTCCCCATGGATTGAGATGTCATTTAGAGAAATAATAAAAATGAGGCAGTACAGAACAGCTGTTTTCTTAGCCTGGTTTTGGGAATTATATTCACTACGAAGGCACTCAATTGGGTTTCGAATTAACTCTGAACCTTCTGATTGCAAGGTGGTGCGCAGCTACATTTATTGCATCTTGTAGGCTCCGGACAACTTTTTCAATAGTATCACTAGTAGCAAAAATAGTAATACGTGTCCTTAGGGACCTCAATTCGAACTACATAACTGTCCAACGCACATTGATTTCCGCGGGGGTTAGCCATGCATATGTCGCCAGACATTGAAGACAGATAATTGAGGTATTCTACATCAGTACCAAATATTGTACCACGAAGCCAAAACTATTCTAAATGTGAGCCTACAGCACCAGTTGTAGAAAGTTGTGTGTGTATTTGCAGGTATGTGTATATGGCAGCAAACCTTTGAGGTTTAATTCTAAGACACCAAAACCAACCATGATACCCTATGTGAAATCTTTTTCAATAATGTGCTAGTCAGTTTTAAGAATATGGGTAAGTAAGATTTAAGAATTATATCTTACATTGTACGTATTTACACAGCTTTTGGTTCATTGGTTAGAGATGTGCCAGAAAACGGTTTCAGTAAGTCACCAAATATGTCAATCTTGCACCCGGATGACGTGTAGTTATATCTCCAAGTTGATGAAATAAGCACCATATTCTTATCCGCTGGACACGTCTCAAGGATGGCTTATTTGGTGATCAAAAACTTCACCAACTTCTTTAAAGTGAACTGAAATTATTAAGTGCCAAGGAATTTTATCAATCACTTCAGTCTGGTGTGATGTGTAAACTGGCTGATGACATTCGCTAGCGGTCACGCTAAAATCTCAAGTTTACAGAAGTTGGAATTCACGCTTCATGAATTCCAAGGTAAGTAGCTGAATGCTCAACTAGCATAGCCTGATGGCATAAATGTCCTAGACCCACTCAATCCTTCATGGAACCGTGGGTACAAACAGCTGGAGAACGCAAAACTTTGAAAAAATAGCTGTCCAGTACTACCTAATATTTAATGGTCCTACAACTGACATCGATGCGTATTCAAATTTCAACTAATTCCAAAACCTAAAAACAAACTCAACTTATCAGGGGATTATTCAAATATACTTAGGCTACATTACAAAGATGTGCAGTTAACAATTGTGCTACACTCATTGTATCAAATCCAATGATCATTTTCGATTTACTGAAGTAGCAGAGAGAAAACAGAGGTGATGAAGATTCCTGGCCAACACCACAAACAGCAACAACAATAACAGACAACAATCAGCCAGAATAAATGGGAGGAACCTGAAAGAAACAACCCCCTTCACCTACCCACCGACCTGGGAAGCATCGTTTCAACTACAGGCCAACGGAACTGAAGAGGATATCAAAGCAGCCAGAATCGAAAAAGCAAGACAAGCTTTCATTACTCTCAAATCTGTGTGGAGGTCAACAGCACTCACCATCAAAAATAAGATCCGGATATTCAACTCCAATGTAAAGTCAGTCAGTGCTACTCACTATACGGATGGATCAAAGACTTGCACTGCGCGTCATCAAGAGCATCTCCAACAAACTTCACACCTTCATTAACAGCTAGCTGTCTTCGCTCAATACCGCTCAAGATCAGATGGCCGGCCGGCCGGCTGGCCAGAAAATATCAGCAATGGGGAGGGATCTCTGACAATGAGCGAACCAACCAACACAACAGGAACCGATTGTGAAACAAATAGGCAGGAAGAAATGGAGTTGGCTTGGATTGGATTGGCCATACTCTGAGAAAACTAACCATCAAGTGACTGGCATCACTAGACAAGCCATTGCTCGAGTGGAACCTGGCCGAAAGGGAAGCGGGTGGCGAGTTGGTCGTCAGTGCAAGGGTGGGTGACTTAGAGGAGGTCGTCATGTGAAGGGGAGGAGATGAAAGCATGTGGACAGACTTGGAGAGGGAGGTGAAAAAGGTGGCAGAAAACAGAAGGCTATGGAGGTGGGCAGCTGAAGCCCTATGTTCCTCTAGGAACTAAAGGATAAAATAATAATAATAAGTAGCTTGTTAGGAAAGAGATTTCCTTTGTGATCTCCTTCAAATTACTGATGATTCAGATTGAAGTCGCCTTTCCAGATGACTGCATTCGAACGAATTATTATTCCTCCAGCTAATAATCATACAAGGTCTTACTTCCACATATCATTACTCTGCTCAGTGAACATGTGTACCTATATGAATACCGTTCAATATGTATACATATTATTATTGAATAAGATTCTCTATTATATTTCATGAGGGATCAGTGAACTTATCCGGAGGAGCACATTTATTCATGGTTCCATAATGACACATTAGTTTGTCTAACCGTACTGATGATATCTCCGTCAATTCCTCAACTGATGCTGCAAGTGTTGGTGAGACCTCCTTGATCAAGCGAAGAGATGACAACAAGAAAAAGCGAAACTCAGGTATATACTATGAATTTGTCAACTAAATTCACAGATTTATCTTGTAGGTCATGACGCGTTATACAACACAGAATGTCAACATAAAATACTTGGAGCTGTACTCTTCTGGTCAAGAGATGTATTCACAGAGCGATGGTTCATCCTCATACACCTTAATAAGGACAGTAAAATTGGAGGGGAATATTATTCGTATTCAGGTGTATGACTGGTTAAATCTCTGACTGGGAGTCCCCGATTCGCCGTGTAGTTACACAGAGAAGTTTATGGATTCGCATTAGATGATGTAAGGAGAATGAATTCCAGTGAACTCTAAATTTCAACCACTTTCTTTTCAGCATTTCTGGAGAAATACTCATGTTTAGTAGCGTTGCCACTTACCGAAACGTCAACACACACACACACTGTCCATCAGAGAAATCTCACTGCTATCTTCCATTCAACAGCCGTGTTTTCACAAACACAAATATTATTAGATGACATTTGTGATTTTCCGTGGAATTCGTAACACAACGACATACTGGGATGCATGTTCTGAGGAGGAGATGACGAAATATCAAGTCGATGACATGATTATGAGTGGCAATAGTCTGTGCTCGAAAGGTGGTCATCACTTAATATTACTACTGTATAACAAACACTGTGTGACAGTTTATCAAAATAAAATCTTATCCACAATGGAGTTATACTCTACTCTACCACAGTACCAAAATTTTTATACTTATATCAATAATACTAGTCAACAATAATAACCTGATCGTCTAATTTCATCAGCCAACTCTCACATTGGTCAGTTACACTGGTCAGTATGTATTCAACGATCTGATTGGTGGTGTTGTCACATGATGTGAAATGTTGACCATTGTTTATTTACAAATGGCCGAACTTTATCATCATAATAATAATAATCATGTTGACAGATAGATATGCCAATATCCCACCAATGTCTGTAATACCAACCAAAATATGGACACATCAAAATATTTACGCCTTCTGATCGATCGATCAATCGATTGTAGAGAGCGGAAAATCATTCGTTGAATTATGCATAACCAATGAGATGTGGAGTGATGAAAGTTAAGAGACACTGACATACACTCGCCTATATATTTGCATGTACACAATTGAGAGGCGAAATACAATCAGAAGTCAATAGAATCAGTGTCTGCGTGTGTATTCACATATTCGGTAAGTGAAATTCTCAGTCGATGAGGTAGATGAGGTTAGTTGACTAGACAGATGGATATTTATACATGATTGATTATACGATGTTGTCAGAATATTCGCTTTCAATGATTCTTGTAAGCTTTGTGCAAAATAGACTTACTTGGAAAGGGTGAAATTTCGTCAGACTTGCGCTGTTGTTTGTCCTATTCAGTTTTCTTTCTTCACATGTATGACTTACGTCACTGTCATGATGGTAAAATGAACTTTGTGAAGTATCCTGACGAGTTGAGTATTTCATTGTCTCTGTTAACTCTCAGTTAGCCTGTACTAAGTGGATGAACAGCTTTCTATCAGGAGTCATCGAATGTTCTGTCATCAAACTAAATCCTTCCGAATATCAGACTGTTAATTTCAATTTCCGATGTGAGTAAAAGAAAAAAGTTAAATGAAGTTGTTCATGATTTCGTATGAACGTTGCAAAACTGATGAGTTTGACGTGAAGTATCTTTGATGAATTCTTTCTTCTGATTTGTCTCGGTCTCCTCATGTCTTAGAGATTTCTAGGATAATATTCCGTGTGATTTTTTTTACATTAGGTAGATGAAGCACTTGAGCATAACTCAAACCCTCCTCCTCCGCCTCCTCCTGCTCTTATGGTTTGTCAACTTTTAAGAATCTTACCTATTCTTCTTTACTGTTCACCCTAACTTATTCTTTCCTGCGTTGCTTTAAGCGGAAAGACAATGACATACTACGAATAATTATGAAGACTGTCAGTCAGTAGGGGGGTGGGTGGGTGAGTGATGGTGTCCAATTAGGCCATATCGTTAATCACATCGTCATTGATGATAGCTACTTAATTTCATGCGTTAAATTTGGTGAAGGAATTTTGTCAGACTGTGAACATCCATCTCACCTCACCGCCCCCACCCCGCAGCTTTAACCTTGTGTAACTACGTCTAAGTGTAAAAATTCCACGATACCATATTCGGTACTGATGTGATGGGAATAATGTCAGCCAAGAACCAGCTAACTAACTAACTAACTAGCCAGGTAACCTTCTTTGCAATATTAAATAAACCATTTTCCCCAACCTTTATTGTTCTTGTAATACTGATATTTATAATCCTCTCAATTGTTTGCTTTGATTTGCTTATTTTCGTCTAAGTGTGAGCATCATTCAAGCTGTGTAATACCCGTTATTCTTTGTCTTCCTGCCCACACCGTGCTCTGTATCAACAGACAATTAGATTCAATATTCAATATTAACATCGTAATATTGTCAAACTGAATCGACACTACTGTTTGAAACAAATTCACTGTTATTTTTATTATTTTATAATAATATTAATAGTTATTATTGTTCTCATTTCGTACTTGGAATATTTTTGACTTTATATCGTAAATACGGAAAACTTCCTCTGGTTACATTTATTTGTGGTGTTTTGAGTAAATCAGATGAAAGTTGTTGTTCTGTATTATAAGTAGTACTGCTTTTTGGAATAAAGTAGATTATTATTATTATTAATATTATTATTATTATTAGAAACTGACACCGTATTTCGCCAGTTTACTCACGAAAATGCATCCTCTCTCAGGAAGCATTACATGAAGCGTCATCCCACCAGAACTCTTATCAGTTCTCACTGAACTGTTCCCTTGTTTGTTCTTTCTCTAACAATCTAATCACAGTGATTTCTCTCTCTATCTCTCTCTCTCCCTCTCTGCTTTTCAGTCGACCACCTTCCAGTCATCCAGTCATCGCCACAAGTCACCATCACAATGTCAAGATACCAGTCAAAGCTTGATGTTGAGAAGACACAGGAAGCTATCAAATACATGAGACACTGTTTCCAGAAACACCTGTCAGCCAACTTGAAATTACTGCGAGTTTCTGCTCCATTATTCGTACCTGTGAACAGTGGTTTGCAGGATGATTTGTCTGGTGTGGAACGTGCCATCTGTTTCGATGTTCGATCCGGTGAACGTGCATACATCAATCAGTCGTTGGCTAAATGGAAACGCATGGCACTACACAAATACCCATTGAAGCACTACCAAGGCATTTACACAGACATGAATGCGATAAGACGTGATGAAGACGTCTCTTCATTGCACTCCTACTATGTGGATCAATGGGATTGGGAACTGGTTATCCAGAGGGATCAGAGGAATGAGAAGACATTGGAGGAAGTCGTTGAAAAGATATATGATGCAATGAAGCAGACGGAGAAGATGTTGGTGAGCGCATATCCAGTGTTGACTAGAAGTTACCGGATAAGATAACATTTCTGAAGACACAGGAGCTGGAGGATCTATATCCTGAGAAGACACCCGCTGAACGCGAGTATCTTGCAGTCAAACAGTATGGTGCTGTCTTCTTGAAGCAAATCGGCAAGGTGTTGAAGTCGAAGCAAGTGCACGACAAACGAGCTCCAGATTATGATGACTGGGAGTTGAATGGAGATATTCTGGTGTACAGTGAACATGATGACAGATGTATTGAACTGTCATCGATGGGGATCCGAGTGGATGAAGTGTCGATGGATAGTCAGTTACGACAGAGTGGTTGTGAATCCCGGCGTCAATTCGAATACCATCAGAAGGTGTTGTCTGGTGAATATCCACTGACCATAGGTGGTGGTATTGGACAGAGTCGACTGTGTATGTTCTTCCTTGAGAAGAAGCATATTGGTGAGGTACAGGTTAGTATATGGCCAGAACATGTCCGTCGTGAATGTGAGGAGAATAATATCTTCTTATTGTAAATAGAATGAAACGATGAAACGATTCTTCCAAACAGTGAATCTACCATAGCCAAATCCTGATCATCATGATTGTCCATCTGTGACGCATATTATCTCTCCGAATAAATATATAATTCTAAAATTTGTGACAGTGTTTTACTGACTTCCATTGAGGGAATGTCATCCACATTTCCGTCTTTGTTATTCGTGCGTGCGTGCCTGTGTCTGTGTTATGTGGGTAGACGATGATAATTCGACTGTGTAGGTGATTTGATGACAACGATGACGAACAGTGATTGGTCAGTTTGTATTAGTTTCCGAGAATCTAAGCGTGAAGATGATCGTTGTAATTTCAGGCGATATTTTATGCTTCATTTAACAGTAGTGGAGCGTAATGCATGTGATGAACGTGATCTGATGACGTGTGATTTCGAGCTAGGTGTCTGTGTGTGTGTGTTTGTTGAGATGATTAGTAATTCACTCACACTCAAACGCTGCGATTTATTATCGGAGTTGCATCCTTCACACAGAATTTCGAAAGTCGATAGCTATGTTGTCGATTAGGCTGTGAAGTCATCGGAGACATTTTATGATTGATGTGTATGATTAACGCTTCATAAGACTATTTCCATTTCTGAAGTTTATAAGAGTATCAAGGATGTATGAATTGGGATGAAGTGAAGTCACAAGATATCGTTGGTTCCTTCCAGCTGCCTGCAACCGTGAACAAGTTAGCATCATTCAAAAAAGTATTCAAGCACTGTAGGCTATAGGACCCTGTTGACTCAATTAGACAAAATAATGTAATTCACAAAATCACCTTAAAATGACTGTGGGGTCAAGTATTCAAGTCAAACTAGCAGTTCGGGAGTAGTCAGATTGTCAGAACGTAAGACTTTAGCTAAGAATGGTTGACCCCAACCGAAAAGAAAAATAGTTTAGAAAAAATCTCAGCAATTGCACTGCATGCATTGCACTCAGACACACAACAGGATGGGAGGGAGAGGGTTAGAATTCTATAATTTAACCTAGGTAGGCGGTGGATGAATCCCTGTTCATCGAGTCTACACCCAACACATGCAATAGGAATGACTCATCACTCATACCGGATATATATATATTCAGAACAAAATATTTAGAGCGAACAATTGTGGCTTCAATAAATCCGTCTTCTTCAGGCTCCACAATTATAAATCCATTCATGTAAGCATACAATAGCCAGTAAAGGCGAATTAGAATCATGTCAGAAAGTGTAATGTGGAACAAGTATAAGATGGGATGAAACAATAGTCATATAGTCATAGTTTTTTAATATGCATGGACAATAACAACATGGGACAAAATGAGATGAAGTAATTTAGTTTAATGATGTGTGAATATATAAATGAATATAGTTAACAGAAAATACAGGTTTCAAGAGTGAGTGTAATCAGGGTGTGTGTGTGAGACAATATGAAAATAAACCAACGACGAATGAGGCGGTGTAGACTTAAGTTCAAGGTTGAAAATAACAACAATAAGAATGATGGTGTAAAATTAAAATTAAAAGTACTATTGGTGAATGATTGTCAAATAATAATAATAATAATAATGAATATAATGAAGTGGTATGAACAGGATTTTTGTAAATACGATAGCAAGATAGAAAAGCACTATTTAAATCTAAGGTAATAACAGAAATCATAAGAAAGGTCATGAAATCATAAAAGTCGAAAATGAAAGTTTGTCAATGAAACAGAGGAATAGAAGAAGGAGAAGAAAAGAAAAGAAAATTGTGAAAGGAATTTATAGTGTTAATGGAGGATTTGTTGGGTTTATTGTAGGCCAAGGTAAACATAGAGGTTGAAGATACTTCTTCTGTATGCAGAGGGATGATCTTCTGGTATTATGATTGCAACTGCTTCCAGCCAGCTACTGATAGGAGACGTAGTCGAGCTCCTCTAGATAAATTACTAGGAACGCGGTAAATAACTGAGAACGCTTGGTCGAGTTTTATCGGGTGTCCAGTATCTACCAAGTGGGCTAAGACTGCACTATTTATGCCTTTGGTTACTCCTTTACTCAACCATACAGGTACATGTTCACGTGCGCGCATGGATAAAGCCCTCTGAGTACGGCCAATGTAACTAGCTGCACATGAGCAGCTGAATTTTTTTTTTTGATTACAGCTTGATTCCACACTGTATTTTTGCTACAAGTATGGAATTTTCAGCACGGATATCGGTAGCCAAAAATTGCAGGCCGACCATAGATATCAGGTGTGCGTTGGCAGGGGATCGAACCTCGGACCATGTGCATGGTCGGCGAGAGTCCTAACCACTGTGCTACCGACGCACAAATAAGAAATATTTTTTTATAACACAACTAGTAATTTTTGTTAGAGTTATGAATAAGTTAGCTGGTTAGCTAGGAATATGGACGAAAAATGCATCTGACATAACACTTTTAACTGACATCAAAGTGTCTGAGCACAATACTGTCACAATAGTAAGATGAAAAAATGTGGAAAATATCAGTTAAAAATTTATCTACTTCATAGATGCACATTGATGAGGCCATCTTTGGCAATTTCTCCTTTACTTCCTGTGTGAGTACTGGTTTAGTTGAGAAGTTTAGTACCAGTGTAGCTGCGGGAAATGTTCTATCTATAGCTCTATTGAGTCGACACGTTAGAATGTCAGCTGAACTTTCCCCTTTGTAACTTAACTTAAGATACAAAGGTTTCTGGTCTACGGTATCCACCTTTACCCTGTCTATAGGTATTGACGTATAGTATTTTAGGAAGCTCTGTGGAAATCCATTTTCTTGCAGTGTGAGTATTAGTTTATGCATTTCTTCCTTAATGCATCCCTCTGAGAATATTCGTTTTATTCTGTAGCTAAGACACCTAACTAAGTTTCTTTTATGCTGAATCGGTGTGAAACTATGGAAATGGGTGTACTGACCGGTCCAAGTTTTCTATCTAAATAATTAACTTTGTAGATATCCGTCTGTCTTCATGGTAGGTAGGACGTCTAGGAATGATTAACTGTTATTGTCTTCCTCCTCACACGTAAACTAAATAGCCGGGTGAACAAGATTAACGGGATTCAGAAGCCCTTGTTTATTAAGATTTCTACTACAAACGATAAAGGTATCATCCACGAATCGACAGTAATAGTCAAGCTCTTCAATCGTGTCTTTGAATGGACCATTTTCAAGCTTTCGCAGGAAAATATCCGCTAGCAAACGGCCCAAAGGTGATCGATCCCATGGCTACCCCATCAACTTGTCTATAAAATCCATTATTGAACATAAACTGAACATTCATAGTGCATTTCAATAATAATAATTCTTTGACTTTTTCGGCTGGGATTCCTACATCTATTTTCCTTTCTACCAGCTGGTCACATATGCAGTTGACTGTTTCAAGCAGTGGGACGTTGGTGAATAATGAATGATGCTACATCCAGTCTGACATCATTTTCTTTCCCTTTACATTCAGGGTTTTGGTAATTTTCACAAAGCTGAATACGTCTTTTACACTGAATTTCACTACTTCGCGATGTGGCGGTTCTAGTGCCTTTACCAACCACTTAGCTGTAAAATGAATGATAAGGCGATCGGCACATACATATCTAAGATGGGACGTAGTGGTACTCCCGGTTTATGGACTTTCGGTAAACCATAAAGTCTTGGTGTGTGCGTACCTGAGGGTTTCAATTCGTCGAGTGTATCTTTCGGAATCAGATTACTCTCAACTAGTGATTTTAGTGTCTTAGCCACTTGGCGTTCGGTTGCCTCCGTTGTGTCTTTACAACTGTTTAGCTTTTGAAATTTCGTATGGTCGTTTAGAATGATATTCATTTTGTCTAAATAATCACTCTTGTTAATGATAACTGTGTCAGATCCTTTATCAGGTCTAGTTATTATCAGATTTTGTGTCTTTTCTTAACGTCATGTTATGCCTCTCGGTGTTTCTTTGTGAGTAGACTGTTGGCGGGATGTCTGCTCTTCTTAAACTGGTAGCAGGAATCGATTAGGGTACTTTTAAATCTTTCTAGCTCATACTTGGACGTAGGAGTTAGGTCGCTTGTCTGGGCAAATAGCTTTTCAAATTGAACATCAGTCTCTAAATAGTCAACCTGATTACGTCTGTCACAGAATTTTAAACCGAGAGATAAGGCTTCATTCAAGTTGTGTCTTATCTAAGCATACAGAGGAGAAATTGAAAACATACCGGTTATAGTCGATTGGAAAATTAGTTTCAGTCGTTTCTGTATCTAGTCCTTTGGTTAATAATATCAATTTCTTGCTTCCTCAACGTTTTAGAACTTCATTAACGTAGTTAATAAATGAATAAATCTTTCAGCTTCCGAGGAGACCCTCGACGGCGTAAAGTCTTTGCGAAGTACTTCTCTCTAGTTCAGATATATAAACTTGAAGTGATTCGATATGATTAACGGCGAATCGCTTTAATGACTTTTGATTCTGTCGTGTTTTGTTTCGACGAAGGGATTTTGAATATAATTTAGGATACCGGTTGTTCACAATACAATTTCGAATAAATTCCACATGCGTTTTGCTTCTGTGAGCCTAGAACTATACTTCAGGTACTCATTGAGTGCCTTTAGAGCTACGGGATATATATACATATGATGGATTCAGGACGAATGCCAGCTGAATGCATGAAATACTTCCATTCAACAATCGAGTGAGACACGAATTCATACAACACACCTGTTGTCTATTCTTCATAAATATACGCTGGAAGAATAATCCCAAATTAAAACACCACATCAGTTAATTGTGTACCCTTAAAAGATTCATTATAAAAAATATGCAGACATTAGACAGCTGGAGGCAATCGGCCACAGGAAGGCTTCCTTCACCCAGGTTTCGTCCTAGTTGACCTTCATCGACCAGCGAGGCGTAACTGAAACCTCGAAGGAACTCATATCTTTAAATATTCCCATTTTTAATATTAGAACAAGACGTTTCTTTGGAATTGTTTCCCTTCACGTCGCCAGCGGAACACAGGG